TAAAAGGCTGTATATTGCCATTGTGTAAAAACAGAACATTTCTATAAAATAATCCATGATAGGTTAAATTACAAATTATTCTCACTATTAAGAGTCAAAAATCTATGAGATACAGCCAAGTGTTCAAGAAAAAAAAATCTTTGTTCCTTCAGGAATGGAAGTATAACCAACCCACTGTCAAAGTTTCTCTTCCTTTGTCTGTTAGATGGGATTAGATTGGTCTCTTGCTTACCATTTATTTTTATGAAAGTTAAGAGATGCAAGCTTCCAGTCATTATTCCCTCCATTGCCAATGTAAAGATATAGTATGTTTCTTTTCAGCTCTACAGAGCAGAACCACGATAAACACACAAAAATAAATTCAATAACATTTCTCTGTCATCAAGAAAATTAAAAATATTTTTGGCCATAATATCATGCAACCTTCAAATTTCTACATATAGCCCATATGTTTCTACACATAGCCCATATTAGCACATGCAACTCAAAAAGTTAGAATACCTACTAATTCAGATAGAATATCCTTTATCTGCAAACAATATGCATCTCCTTAAAGATCAGCATATTTATTGCAGTATATTCTTTCATGTGTTACAACTCCCTTTGTCAGATGCAACTTATCTGCTTTGTATCATCTATCACAGTCAGTGGCCATTGTAAGTGTTCTTGTTTATTCTTAAATGCTAGCTGACAAATAAAACTAAAGTGATTCAAATTTGTTAGTTATGAAGAAAAAAAAATGAAGATTTTGTAAGTCCATAGCAAACATTTATCATACAAACTTTGTAATATGATCAAGAACAATATTTCTTATTCTAATAAACTATTACAAAACAATCTCACAACAGAAATATTGTTCTATTTATAAAAGTTCATTCTGCTGCAATTTTAGTTTAACTTTTGTATGTGCAATGGTTTTTTATCATAACAAAAAGATTTTATGTGTGCATGTTATAAAAATCAAATACTTTAGCTAAGAAAAAGACAAAATACAGTATACAGTACTAAAATACAGCTGTAAGAGTTGTAAGAATAAAATGACAAGGCTAACTATAAAGCTGTAAACAAAAACAGATACATTATACTAAATCAAACAATTTTTATTTACTGTCTATGATCAGCAATTTCCATGATTTCAACAGGTTATTATCATAGAGAAAAAATCAAAGCAGAATCTTCTCTAAATAAAAAGAATTTTAGTGTAATATATTTAATTTGTAATCATTTTGATATAAACAAACATTTTTGTTTAATTTAGTTTACTACTGCTGCAACTTTTGTTCAGTTAGTCAATCCACTTTGAACTATTTTGGAACAGCTTCCATGTTATTATTAAATGGGCTTTAGAATTGCAACTTGACTTCACTCCTTTCTTGTCCTAAAGGGATCTTACCAGAACTACAGAGCAACTTTTATGGATAGTTAGCAATGGGCAAGGGTACATAATGAAGGAGAATGAGGGAACTGTTTCATGCAATTCCTTTCAGTTTATTATATTAAATTTTATATCATTCCATACTGAAGGAAATATTGGCATAAATACTATATGTCCTCAATTAAACATATTAAGAAAAAAAATTCAATTATTCTATCAATATTGCAGAATATCACAATTTCCAAAAGATGCATTCTCATAGTCAAGGAACTGCCCTTAAAATCTTGCCTGGGAATGTATTTAGTATAAAACTGAACTGGAAGGAAACAAAAAGTCCTTCGAAGAGAAGTCCATTGAAGCAAAAGGTAAAGATACAAAGTATACATACTGCTTCCTCCTTTTTAAATAAATGTTTGAGGTAGATAAGATTTAATTTATACCTTGAAAAAGATGACTGCTTCATAAAAGAATGGGTGGAACCAACATGTATGTGTGAGCTGACACACAGAATATATTCAAATATGAAAAGCAGACCTCAGATTATTCAATATGTGCATGGAATATAAGTGACTAATATAAGATACAAGAATCAACTTGCCTACCATGCCTCCTTGATTTGTGGAATTAAAAACAAAAGCAACAATTGAATTCATTGGATTGAATCACAAAGCTATAAATATTGTTACTGCACAAAGTTATAGTCACTGTAATTCAAAATCTCCATTTGTAATTCAAATCTAAGATTAGACATTGACAGTGAGCAGCTTTATGACTGACATGCACAAACTGCTGTCCAAATAAGACTGAAGTAGAAAGAAAATCACCAGCATAAAAATGAAATCACAAAGCTATCATATATATTTAATTATTAAAAGTAGATTATTTGAAACACATCATCTAGCCATGCCAGCCAGCTTAAGAGACTCTTTTTGAAGAATATGGGTTGGGCTCTAAGCTACATTAACTCAATCAACAATGTCAATGGTCCATTACCCCACCCCCATTGCATCTTCAGTCCCTTTCACCAAGAAAAGGAGTCCCTCAGTTTTCCAATGGGCTGAGAAGCCTGCAGGGAGTAGACTGAAATATTTCCTTACATTAAATGAATATTGTTCTGTTAAAAAGTTGCCTATTTTAAAATGTTGACAATTAAATCCAAACAATGGAAAATGTTTCGCATTTATTTTAAAAAACTGACAGTTTAACATTATTCTCCTTTAATAATTTTTAAAAAATTATTTATTGTAGAAAAAGCTTAGTAACGTTTAAAAATATATATATACTAGTCATAGCATAAATGGGCCATTTGAAATTTAGTCACTAATTAAGTCAGCTAGTTAGTAAGTAAATTACTAGCTTCTTACTGATATTAATGGAAGAAAATAAAATAGCTTAGTATCATTAACTGGCAATTAATCACCAAATCAAATGATTGGTAGTGTGAAACTGCTGGGTTATGTTTATGGAAACATGAAAAGTTTAATGAGATGCAGAATGCATGCATATAAATACCAATTTATAACACTGAAAGTAGCCCATTCATGGAATTCAAGTATTTGATGTGTAAAAGCTAATCTCTGTTCATATCAATGACACAATTATGAATCTAACATTTTAGGATTATCCAGGAAACATATGAGGAAAGCCCTTCTCATACCATTAATTAGTCTATTCTGAATATACTTCATTTCCCACACCTTGAAGGAAAGGAACAATATTAAGTTATTATCATATAATTATTTAAAAGCATTCCTACATTAAGATATGTTCACCACCCTCTATAAAACAGCATTATAAGATTCCAAAAACAAATAATTATTGAAGTCATAATGTTTTTAGAATGGGTCTATGTTCCAAGAACTTTTGTTTTATTCTAAGCAGTAATTAAAAATGGACTTATCACTAATTTAGATAGCTACTTACATCCATCATTTTTACTACATCATGCTAGCCTGACACTCATTATTCTATGGATTATGAATTTTTATGGTGTTAAATTCATATGGAACAGGGCCTAGAAAAATACAATTTACTAAAACAGCATCAAATCAGAAGCATTACTTACCTTAAATACTTTGCCAAAAGCACCATCACCCAATTCTCCTATAATTTCCCAAAAATCCTCTGGATTCAAATCTCTCTTGACATGCTCATACTGTTTCTTTTTCTTTTCACCTCCCAACTTGAAGATCTTACGGAAGTTAAAGAAGGACATATTTGCCCTTTTTAGTTCAAAAACTATTTTTAAACGCTTCAGGAAAAAAACCAGTTATTTTGTCCACTGTTATGGTCTAAAAGAAAAACAGTACAAAATTATGACCACTGTGCTATGCGTCAGCAACGATGCTAAGAAAGGAGCAGAGGGACAATTTGCAGTCTAGATTTTCGATTTGATACACAATCCAACATCAACCAGAGTAAGTAGCTGCCAGCCACATGTGGTCACATGCAGTTTCCCACAAGTTTATCACTGTAGATTTAGCAACCTAATAATCATATAATTCGCACTAAGTTTATCTAATCACTCAATGCATATGAACAGGCTCCACAGACACTATTCCCCAAAGATGTGTTGGTCGTACAACAGGCTGAAAGTTGAGGAATGACCCTCTCAAAAATGCCCACTTGATTCGATGAAGGATCCAATATTAAATGGCGAACATGTGTGCAAAAAAAGCAGGCAGCTGTATTCAAGTCCTGCCCCTCCTTATTCAACAGCTCAGACTGCTAACATCGCGTCAAATGCAACTCTCCTTTCCTCTGGTAGTTGAAAACTTCAGCAATCCATGAGAACGAAAAACACGCATCTTCTTTCCTACTCTAGACAGGACAGGCTTGCCTTCAAGAGTATTTTGTCTATTGGGAGAGAGGGAAGGGACAAAAAAATTAAGTGGCATAATAACATATTCCTCAACCATTTTTAAAATTTCTTCTCCGCCGCCCACCAAACAGTATATTTATTAAAAATGAAGTTATTCCCTATCGAAAAGCACTTATATGAAAAAGCCTCCTCCACTCTCCTTCCCCGTTTACCCCCCCCCCCCTTTTTTTTTTCGTTGGAGAAAGATGGCAGAAAAATAGGTTGGGAGCGAAAAGAGTTTTTCCAGAAAAAGCAGCGACCCTCAATGGTGGCAGCTGCTGGTCTTTTCCAACAAAAGAGGGGGGGGGAGCGAAAGATAGGAATGAGAAACTCACCAGCCAAAACGGATTCTCGTCTCCCTCACCTCAGAAGGTGATGGGGAGGATGACGCCCGCCGCCTTAAGCGTTCTTACTTCCTGCGCCTCCCCCCCTCCACAGCTCCCTCAGACAAGGGGGCGGAGCACACAGGAAAGAAGCTCGGTGGTCTCGCTTCCTTTGCCCCCCTCCCTCCTTTGCTCTTGTTCTCTCAACCGCCACCGCGCGCGCGCCCACACGCAACGCAACCCCCCACCCGGGAGACTCTTCCAGCCCACGCCCCACGCGCCTGCGCCGCCTTCTCTCCCTCTCCCTTACCGAGCTACGCAGGCGCTCTAGCAATCCGTTTCCCTCGCAGGCGTCTTTTCTCCCCAAGCCTTTTATCCTTTCTCCATAATTCCCTCCTTCGGTTCTAACCACCGGATATTACAACGAACAAAAGGTACGACAGAAAGCAAAAGGACGAAATCCCTTCCGGTTTCTCTGCGCTCGCTCGTCCTGTCTGACACCGTGCCGCCTCTATGAACAAACCAATGACAGCGCCACCGGTCTCTCTGGCGGGTAAGGCAGACCGGGTTTAGAATTGAGGTCAGAGGAGGGCGGGAGGGGGAATATGAGTGGAAGCGCGAGGAGGCCCTAGTATGATTTCGCGACTACTGAAAGCGGGTGTCCCCGTTCCCCCCCCCCCCAGTTTAATTAAGTCACTTCCTCTGTAACACGACAAAACGAGGAAAGCAGGAAACAATGTTTAAACACACCCAACTGGTGTGCTGGGCTGGGCATCTGAGTCTTTATGTACTCTTCCGACGACCACTTTCATTAAACAGAGAATGCTTGGATGAGTGCTTGACAACTTTGAGGGGAGATCTGCAGTTTAGCCCTCAGCCAGTCTGGAGCCACCTAAGATAACAGGGAACGATGTTTCCTGTTACGGAAACGGGATTTAAAACATTAAAATCGGTTCCAGAGGAAATGCATTTTAAAACTTGCCAATGTTTACCTGAAAAAGCGTGCCATGTGTACCATATCCGAATTATTTATTTTTTATTTTATTTTATTTTATTTCTCAAGCGCTTACAAGATAATAGGTATAAGTATAAACATGAGTAAGAATACAGGAAATAGGTACGAATAAATGGGGACAATAGGACAGGGATGGTAGGCATGATGGTGCACTTATGCACGCCCCTTACAGACCTCTTAGGAATGGGGTGAGGTCAATAGTGGATAGTTTGAGGTTAAAGGAGTGGGGGTATGAGGATGTAACAACAGAGTCAGGTCCTGCATTCCAGGTTTTGACCACTCTGTTGCTGAAGCGGTTAACATTGAGCTTGTAGCTGTTGTGTGCTCTTATATTTTGCGGTTGAAGCTGAAGTAGTCATTGACTGGTAGGACATTGTAGCAGATAATTTTGTGTACTATGCTTAAGTCCAACAGTAGGTGGTGTAGTTCAAGATTGTCCAAGCCCAAAATTGCAAGCCTGGTGGCATAGGGTATTCTGTTGCGAGCAGAGGAGTGTAGTACTCTTCTACTTCTGGACTTGCTCGATTGTATTAATGTCTGATATACAGTGTGGATTCTCCTCCATACTGCATCGAGAGCCCAGGATGGGTTGACTCCTTCCTATGATGTCATTTAGCTGAGTCTGTACTAAGATATAAAAGCCAGACCCTGGAAGTTACCCCAGCTTTTGACTCAGCTCCTTTCAGTCAGTAGCTGTGTCTCTGAAAGCATTTTGTTAGTTAGCACTCACCAGCGATCTTCAGTACCTTTTTTCCTTGCTTCATCAGCTTCCAGGATCTGGACAGCTGTTCTTCCAGGAGAGCAGGGCTCTCTCCTGCAACATTGGGAGCAGCCTTGCCAGAGCACTGCTCAGGCAAGTTGGGCAGCGTCTGTAGACCTCCCCCACACCTGCGGTTTGAGCGGTCTAAAAAGCGATCAGCAAACCGATAACAGCGTCAGCCAGCTGATTGTGTGGCCAGAGGCTGCACTTTCCTTTGCTGACTTCGCTTGGGGCTCTTTATAGCCTAAGGAGCGATTCTTCAATCTCGGAGCCTGTTTCCCATAGTCACTGGCCATCTTGGATTGAAGCCTTCCACCATGAGGTGAGTGGCCATATTGTAAGCCCGGGGGCCATTTATACCCTAAGGGGCCTAATAGAAAAATTTACAACAGTTTGTTTCCATCGCAAGAGCCTTTTATTCTACAATGGAGCAAGATAAGGGTCAGGCAGAGCTCCCCCCCCCCCCAGTGGAGCAGTCTCTTAAGCCACTAAGAGAAAAATCCGTAGGCAACACACCCAATCGGTCCAGAGGGAGGTGACTGCTAAAATCAGAGCTAAGGCTCTAGCCCCTAAGAAGGCAACTCAGGCTGAGTTGAGGGCAGAAAAAGCGCAGACATGCAGCCCTAGAGAGGCAGTTCAACAGAACTATTCAACAGAAGGGAGGGCAATTACAGCAGGTTTCAGGTGATACCCGTGGGCCCCAGCCAAGCCCTCCTAGGGGAGGAGAAGTTATCTTAAACCTTTCCATCCTCCATCCTGGTCTCCTGAGGCTTTGGCAGTACAATATGATCCTCAGGATCCAAGCAGATCTGGGCCTTATTTCCAACAGGCTTCTGGGCCCTATGCTCCTCCCCTTCCCTCCAGGCCTCGAACCTCTTCTCAATCTAGGCCTGAAGCCACCTTCACTCCCACAGCAGCGGGCCTTCGGCCTACCTTTTAGCATAGACCAGGGAATATCCAAGATGTTGTCTCATTGGCCATTAGGCAGGGATTGGCTGAAGGTTTCAAGCAAATTATTTGACCTCTGGAAAGGGCTCAGGCCCTTCTCCCTTCTCAATCTATAAGTTCCCTGCCTCATCACCCTGATTTAGAGTGAGACCTTTGACCAAAATCTTTCAGAGGAAGAGGACTCTTGCCCAGAGCAGACATCCTCTGCATTGGTCTTCAGTCCTTCTCTCTTCAGGCCATTACTCAGCAGGGCCTTGGTCACTGCCAAGCTGTCGCCAGAGGAAGTGGCTCCCGGCCACAAGGAAATCCCTCTAGCCAGGGAGACGCACTCTTCTCCAAGCCTGTAGTGCATGCAAGGGTTTTGCCTTCTCCCACTTTGCTCCTGGTCATGGTCAAGGAACAGTGCGCCTCTCCTTTGGCAGGTCCTCGCCCATCTTCTCTGGATAAGCATTTCTATAACGTCAGCGCAGCCCTGGACAATGCCCTGGCAGTGCCTTCTGTTGACATTCCGGCGCTGCATGGGCTGTTCAGTCTTCAACAGCAGCATCCTTTTTTCACGAGAACATCCATATGGTGGCTGCACCAACTCCAGATTAGATTGCCTACATCTGACCTTCGGTCTCACCAAGACCTTAATAAGATTATCGCAGTGGGGGAATTCATTGCAGATGCCACTCTCAATTCTGCCAAATTTGCATCTAGGGCCATGGCATCTTCAGTAGCAGCAAGAAGACTGTTATGGTTCAGAAATTGGCAGGCAGAGTCACGTCGTAAATGGAAGCTGGCTTCAGTTCCATTCGCGGGCGATAAGCTTTTTGGCGATGCTCTGGAACCTTATTGCATTGAAACCAGAGATAAACGTAAGATTCTCTCTTCCTCTGGGGAGAGAGCCAACTATCGCCCAGCTCCTTATACTGGTAAAGAGCCCTTTTGGGAGGGTGGGGGTTGTTCTTGCCATCGCTCTAAGTAATCCCTCGTTCTCCCCACCCATTGGAGGCCGCCTAGCTTTCTTTGCCTCCAAATGGGAGGAGTCAACGACAGATGCCTGCATGTTCTGCACTATTAGGTCAGGGTTACAATTGGACTTCCTAATGTCACCCCCAAATGGGGGGAAAAGAAAAAGAAATTATTATTTTTGAGCTGGCCTGTCTCTCAGGACATTTCAAGGCAAGACCTCATGAAACAGGCCATTCAACACTTTGAAATCCGAGCTATTCAACCTGTTCCCCCCTCTCAACAGGGACGTGGGCTTTACTCTTGCCTTTTCATCGTTCCCAAAGCGTCGGGGGGTGGCGAACCATCCTGCATCTAAAAATTCTCAACCAATTTGTGAAATACAGACAAATTAAAATGCAAACTCTGCATTCTATTTTAGAGAGTGTTCGGGAGGGCGATCTCCTCTCTTCCACTGATCTCATGGAGCCTTCCTCCACATCCTCTTTTGGCCTCATCATCGCCAGTTTCTCCGTTTCTGTTATCAGAATACCCATTACCAGTATTGAGCACTTCCCTTCGGTCTCTCATCAGCTTCCAGGGTCTTCACGAAGGCTCTGGCGGCATTGATGCCATCTCTGCGTTCTGTTCCAGTGAGGATCCAATGCTACTGGGATAACATTTTGATTCTGTCCTCCTCCATCCATGCAGCCCATCGGGATCTGCAAATTACCCTGTCATATCTCCAGAGCCATGAATTTTTCCACTCCTGTCCACTCCAGTGGTTCCTGCTTCCCTACCAATGAACAGGAACCAGCCTCTCATCCATCAAGGTCCTGCTCCCGCCACAAATCCGGAGATCTCTCAATTGGTGGCATTCCCCGTTAATCTAGAAGGGACTCCCTTTCAGGGTCCTAGACAGGCTAGTAATAACCACCGATGCCAGCCTCCTGGATTGGGGGTCCCATATGCAGGGCCAGATAGCTCAGGACCTTGGTCCAGGTCAGAGCTGGCCCTTCTCATAAATTGGCTAAAGCTCAGAGCCATTTTTCTACCTCTCAAGCATTTCAGGCACTCAGTGACCGGCTCTCATGTTCTAGTCCTTATGGACAACATGGCCGCCATAGCTCATGTCAACCGGCAAGGGGGGACGAGGTCCAGAGCCCTCATGGGAGAGGCGCTATGATTGGTGTTATGGGTAGAGAAACACCAGTTGTCAATCTTGGTGGACCACATGTCTGGGATCGACAACTCCCAGGCCGACTGGCTCAGCAGGAGCCTAGTCAACAGGCAGAATGGTCCATTCCTCCGTCTCTATTCAGGGACCTTTCCCTCAGATTTGGAACACCGGAGGTGGATCTCTTCTCCACTCCTCAAATTGCCCAGGTCACCAGATTCTTCACCAGGTTTCCTTGCCTGGGAGCTAAGGGGACCAATGCTCTTTGGTGCAGATGGCACAAAAGTCTCCTCAATGCCTTTTCCCTGCTTCCCACCATTCTGACAGTAATTCGGAAGATGTTGGAGGAATGAGCGGAGCTTCTCCGCCTGACATCCTATTGGCCAAGGATGCCCTGGTTTGCGGACCTGGTCAACCTATCGGGGGCTTCTCCTTGGAGGATCCCAGCCCATCTAACCTCCCTTCATCAGGAGATTCTGATCCACCCGGAGCCCCTGTGGCTTAAACTGACCATGTGGCACTTGGGCGGCAGCGGCTAGGGGTGGCTGATCTTCCTGAAAGGGTCATCATCACTATCCTGGCATCTCGCAAACCTTCTACAAGGCGCATCTATGATGCCACCTGGAAGGCCCTTCCCGAGGGTTCCTTAGGGAGGGTCTCTCTCCTGCTTCAGCCCAGTTGGCAGAGGTTCTTAGATTCCTTCAGCATGATTTGTAGAAAGGTTTGGCCCCCAACTCCTTATGCAGGCAGGTTGAGGCCCTCTCCTTGGTTCTTTCATGGGGTTCACTTCCTTATCCCATCACCCTTCAGTCAGGAAGTTTTTTTTGAAAGGGGACTTCCAACCTGCAACCCCAGTGGTTCACAGGTATCCTTCCTGGGATCTTCATGAGGTCCTTAATGCCCTTACGAAGCCCCCCTTTGAATCCCTTAGAACATTGTCTCTCTGTTTCCTGACTCTGAAGGTAGTGTTCCCCATTTCCATCACTTCAGCCAGGCGGGTATCCGAGCTTGCTGCTCTTTCCATCAGACAGGACCTTTGTTCCTTTCACGATGATAGGGTTGTCCTCAGTCTGGACCCCTCATTTTTTCCAAAGATTAACACCTGTTCCACAGGTCCCAGGACATTAGATTGCCTGGCTTCTGCCCCCTCCCGCACCATGACTTAGAGCAGCAGTGGCTCTCGCTAGATGTAGGAGCGCACTTCCTCCTTCAGGAAGTCTGAAGCCATTTTGTTTCCTTTTCCCTTCTCACTTGGGGCACAAAGCCTCTTCTCCTACTAGTAGCAGGTGGGTCAGATCTTACATTGAGCAGGCCTACAAAGCTGCGGCCCTTCCGGTTCCTCGAGGTCTGATGGTGCACTCTACCAGAAATGCGGCCATTTCGGCTGCCTGGGCAACCCAAGCACCCTTGGAGGCGATCTGTCGTACGGCCACGTGGACATCTCCGTCTCCTTTCATCAGATACTACCGTCTGGATGCCTTTGCCTCAGCAACTTCAGCCTTCGGCAGATGGGTGCTTCAACAAGTGGTTCAACAGTCGGTGTGATGAGCCGGAAAAGGACCCGCCCGTGGACATGCAAGCTTTGGTATGTCCCATCCTGGGCTCTTGATGCAGCATGGTGAAGAATGTGCATTAGTAGAAGTTACCCTGAACGCCCTTTCTATCTATGCTGCGAGAGAGCCCAGCCCCTCCCTTGATTCGCCCGGAGAGGGGAAGTCATATTTCTGTATTCATTTGTGCTTTCAGAGACACCTTTCAGTCTATCAAGTATCTTCGCCAAAGCTGGGGTAACTTCCGGGGTCTGGCTTTTATATCTTAGTATAGACTCAGCTAAATGACAGCATAGGAAGGAGTCAACCCATCCTGGGCTCTCTCACAACAATAATAGAAAGGGTGTTCAGGGTAACTTCTACCAACGCCCATTCCAGACAGATGAGCTGTATTCAAGTATTGGTCTAGCAAGGGTTTTGTATGCCCTAGTTAGCAATTCAATATTTCTGGAGGAGAAGCTTTGTAAGATTAGATTTGCAACTCTTAATGTCTTTTTGGTAATGCTGTTACAGTGAGCGCTAGCGCTTAGATCATTTGATATGAGTACTCCGAGGTCCTTGACAGAGTGAGGGTCATCAATGAGGTCATAGCCGCCTAGTTTGTATTCGGTGTACTGGTTTTTTTTTACCAATGTGTAGGACAGAGCATTTGTTGGTCGAGATTTGGAGTTGCCAAATGTTTGACCATTCAGACACATAATCAAGGTCACTTTGAAGAACAGTAGCATTGTCGGTGGTGTTGAATAGTTTTACATCATCCGCAAAGAGGATGCAGTTGCTTATAAGGTGATCGCAAAGATCATTTATATAGAGTATAAAGAGTGTGGGTCCTAGCACGCTGCCTTGGAGGACACCACTGTTGATTGGAGGGTTTGATATAGTGTTCCCTATTTTTACTATTTGTAAAGTTTTTACTATTTTTACTATTTGGCGCTAGTCGTGAATAAAATCTTTTATCTCAGATTGATGAAACTGCAATGGTCATGTGGAAGAATTAACATTAGACTGTATATCCCAAAGGTGCTTTTTCAAGAGACAAACTTGAAGACGTTTCACTTCTGATCCAAGAAGCTTCATCAGAGTTGAAGAAGCTTCTTGGATGAGAAGCGAAACGTTTCCCCAAAAACACAGAAAGTCCAGTGGCCTCTTGAAAAAACCTTTGGGACAACCATGACCTGGATGACTGAGAATCTCCATAGACAATTAGACTATACTTTTTAAAGAGCAAAAAGCTTTGTGCCTGGATATTGATTCAAAAGCAAGTGTCTGCTGACCTCAAAAGAGTTTTACTGGAGTAAATGTAAATACAGTAGTTTCAAAAGGCATGAAACATTGTAACAATACTTTGATTATATAAAGGCTTATGTTGATAGAAAAGAATGTCCAAATCTACTTATTCTGGGAGAATAATTAGGGTTGTTTCTTCCATTCTTCGTTTTAAAGCAAAAATGCTAGATTACTCTTACCACCTGTTTTGCAAATTCAGAGTAGTTCCATTGCTATTTCTGTTTTTGTTGTACATGGTGTATAGCTTCCCACTTTTCACTAATAAATTGATTAAATCCATGTGTTATAATTGAAATTATTTCATTTTTATTTTTGAACTGGTGATTTTTGTTTTTTTTTAGAGGTGTTTTTAAATGCATATTTTTGACTGCTACATGTTTATTCCCGAGCTAAAGTCTCTTACTACTTACTCTTGCAGCTGCTAGTTTCTAATCTCGTCTTGAAAAATATTATTTACAAGTTTCAGACTAAGAGATAATTAAATAATTGTCCATCTTTTTAAGTAGACTTCCTTTTATAACTTACTCTGATTTCATAAGCATATTTTAAATATTTTATTTTCAATTTTAACTTGTCTTAACCTTGTTAAATTCCTGTACATAGAAGCCTCTATTTTTCATCTGTCTGCTGTGTCTGACCTGGGAATCATTCTCCTTCTTGATGGGAATTTTTTCTTAATAAAAATTGCCAGTATTATAATAGTGATAAGGCATTACCAATTTTAATTTCAAAAATCCAAATACTGTAGAGCTGTAATTTTCTCTGAATAATTTAAGGAATCCACTAAATTATATATTACATTCCATCTTTCATTTATACCACCAATTTCATGATCCTTATTATTACTGATATTAAACTTTCCATTCATCAATACAAAAGTATGAACTTGCATACTCATGCAAATGACTTCAGTAAAAGACTACTAATACTAGTAGATATTTTAAATATCATACAATATTTTAAAATTTTTATAATATGCAAACCTCCCAAAAACAACTAGAGACACTAAAGTCAAAATATCAATTAACGGAACAAGTAAAAATAGCTGCTCTCCCTCTATTGAAATAACAATAAACAAGATAAATCAAAATGGGAACAGCCCAAATTCTCAAATAGCTGTCTTTTTACATATATTCTAAAGCAATAGAATTTTAGTAGCTGATGGATTTAACTTGGGTGGGATTCTACCAGTTCGTACCTATTCGCTAGAACCAATTGTTAACATTCTAAGCAGTTCAGAGAACTGGTTGTTAGAAGAAATTACCGGCCTAATCCTGTAAGGAAAGCAGGAAGGAAACATTCTGGTGTTGCTTACAGAAACTGCCTCTCCATTAACCCTTATAAACCCTTCTTGGCAGGACTAGACTTCCTATCTCAGGAACTTCTCTGGAGTTTTTTTCCCCCTCCTTTGCTGGTACTTTGCTTGTGTGGAGTGACCATTCAAAGTTACAATGGCACTGAAAAAAGTGACCTATGCCCATTTTTCACACTTACGACTGCTGCAGCATCCCCACAGTCATGAGAGGCCAGGCGAGGAGATGCATGCCTCAATGTGAGTGATATTGAGTTCACCACACTCACCAATAACATGACCACCAAGCCATGTCCACCCAGTCACTTGACCACTAAGCCACACCCACTACCTAAGCCAGGCCACAGAACTAGTTATTAAAAATTTGAATCCCACCCATGATTTAACTTTGTTTCCCTATAACATATGTAATTCCGAGTGTTTCACAAATACCAGTGGGACCTCCGTCCACCACCACCCCTCCTTTTGCCTCCTTCCTTCTGATCAGTCAGGTTTTCCCAGTATTTGCTCACAGCTGCGTTTTCTCTTCTGCCGTGCTAGGCATTGAATGCGGGGATTTCTGATTCCCCTTACACGTGCATGGATATGCCGTGGGGTGTTTTCTTCCAAACGCCCCACGGGCAGAGAACACTGACTTTCATGATAGTGAGATTGTTTCCCAAATTAATTGATTCACTAACCCAAAAGAAGATGGCAGTGGGAGGCAGGAGTCACTCTCTCCCTTGCAAGAAAAAAGCAAGAGCCGTTCTTATGATCTCTCTCTCTCTCTCTCTCTTTCTCTCTCTCTCTCTCTCTCTCTCCCCCCGGAATATAGTCAAGCCCTTTCCAGCACACGCGATCCACCCCCAGGATTTTGCATTTGCAAGGTGCAAAGCGGCAGCGGCGGATCGCACAAGTGACTCCTGCCTCCCACTGTCATCATCATCATCTTCTTTTGGGTTAGTGAATCAATTAAACCTTTCATGATAGTGAGATCGTTTCCCAAATTTCCCTTAAATCAGGGAAGAAATCAGAAACAAAACTTTGGACTGAGAATAAGCCTGTTCCTATGATGCCATTTTTGTTCACTGCAGTGTGAAAAGTGTGAAAAAACACACCTCTTTTTCTTCATCTTCTTGTTCCCTATTTACTGGTCTCTTTCAAAGAGGAAACTGTGAACATCAAACTTATTCTCAACTGTCCTAGTGAAAGTTTTAATTAGATAATAATTCCCTCCTGGTAGCATTTTTTAATGCCAAGAGTGAATGAAGTTAACTTGCAATTGAGTATGCCATGTTAATTCATGCCGTCTTGACACTAATGAAAGCAACATTCCTTTTTAGTTATATTTCATAGAAATATCTATTTTTCATAGAGGTATCTATTTTTATTTTTGAAATTTACCAGTAGCTGCTGCATTTCCCACCCTAGGCTTATACTCGAGTCAATAAGTTTTCCCAGTTTTTTGTGGTAAAATTAGGTGCCTCGGCTTAGATTCGGGTCGGCTTATACTCGAGTATATACGGTATGTTGCATATGAGATGTTTATAAGACATGTTCTTTGCTCCCACCAGACTCATTTCATATCAACTTTAATCAATGATTGGTTAATGTTCTTGGAGCTAAATTATTTTGGAATGTGTGCTGCAGCTATTGAATCAGAAGATGAGGTCCCATCACTTTTGTGGGGTTTGAATCCAATCTTTTCATCCTATGCAAGACTATACATTAAAGACATATTAGAAATAAAAGAGTCTAAACAGGTTCCAGGTAAGTAGTGAAATTGCTATGAACTTTATAACTTTATATAACTTTATATAACTTTATAACTTTATATATAACTTGTTATACTGAAAAATCAAGTATTATTATGTTGTGTATCAGCTTGACTACAAATTCTCTCTATTTCTTTGGCACTTCCTTTGATGTGCTTAAATCTCTTCCTTTTCGTTCCAATGTTGCATTACTTTCAGAGACCTCAAACTAGAATCTTTTCATTTATTTGGAACATAATGAAGGAATAACTTGAATCTCATACATTTATAACTGTACAAAATATTTAAGGCATCTGTAATTATTATCAGAAAGCACCAATGGATTATTTTAAATATTTTGAATTAACAGTTTTTAATCAGTAAAAGTGTGCATTTGATTCTGTTCTAATCTTTGTGTTTCTAAATCTTCTTATCTATTTCTTGAACGTGCTCTCCTCCATTGATTTTTGGATGTAAGTCTTTCCGAAGTATTGATTAATTGTGCAACATATGTTATGATATGATTTTTCTAGCACTAAAAACTTGATGTTTATGGAGGTAAGGGGATTGTTTTTAATTAAATGAAGTCATTGTTTTATTCCTGTATGATTGATATAACTACACAATCTATAATATAGACTTGTATAGTTACTATACAACCAAGAAAAAACTACAGTATAACAGTTTTTTTGTCTTTTTGTATATGATCTTTAATATCTTAAACATTGGGAAAAAATAAAATTTAAAAATGTATTAGGAATGGCTCAATCTTTTTGCCAATAACATGCTTATCTGATTTCCTATTTTCCACCATGATTAAAAATAATCATTGGATACTTTTCATACAAACTTCAGGATCTTCCTCATCTACACAAATAGAATAATAAATCATGCTATGAAAATAGAATGTTTTCAATTGTAGTACCATATAACTGTATGTGGCATTTTATAGTTATCAGTTTGACATCCAGATCAGAACGATTTTTTTTTAAATGGCAGGAAGGAAAGTTTGTAGAATATTAAATGACTGCCATTTAAGTGAGTTCCACATTAGTCTCTATCAGTGCCATATGGAAAAGGGAGTGAGGATGTCATATATGAATTGCATCCCTGTATAGAAGAATGAGGTTTCAGTTACATTGCCTCTGCCACCAACTTGTCTTTTTTTACTCTCCCTGCAGCTATCAACAATATATATTGTGAGCTGCTACTCAAAAATAATATTTCATGTGGAAAATGGCTATTGCTGAGGAAAATTTAAGGGATAATTTTATATGTATAAATTATAGTACACAAATAAATTGGGGTAGGGTACAGATTTATGATAGCAAGTTGTCTATACCCTATAAATTGTGAATCTGTGTTTTTTTTTATCAAACTTTAATCAAATTTCATTGTCTTTAATACAAAATAAAATTTAAAACATTTGAATTAAATATTCCATGTATATCATATTCAAATTTGAACATTTTAATCTGAAACTAATGTATCAAAATATTGTAATACTCTACTTTGATCAATTGTTTTATATCAATGGTCATAACTTTTGGATTTTTTTATCAGGATATGTGAAATTGTTAGTAAAATTAACATTAGTTGACTAAGAATAAAAAATGTTAGTAATATTTGGGATTATGACACAATGTTTTTAAAGGCCTAAATCTAGGACTTTACCCTTTGCATTTTTTTGTTTCTTTCCTAAGGTATATTCTTTTACAACAGACATCCAATAAGACAAGTGGATATTTTTGGTACGGTGGTTCTAATAAAAGAAAAAGATTCCTTTTATATTTGTGGAGGTAAATGATAATCCAAGATTTTTGTTTTTTAGTTTTATTTCCATTTTTAATAGTATTACTATTCTGAATATTAATTTAGACTTCCGTAGAATCAATATTTCTAGAGAAAAATATTGTCTCTCTTGGTCAGGGGTGTCAAACTCAATTTCACTGAGGGCCGCATCAGGGTGTATTTGACCTCAGAAGAAGGTGGGCATGGCCAGGGTGGGTGTGGTCAGCTCGATGTCACTCATGTCAGAGGCATCTGGTGGCCTGAGTGCTCTCCCAGTGAAAAATGAGTTTTGTTTTCACTGACAGAGAGTTGCAGGAAGCCATCACAGCCGAAAATGGAGCTTGGGAGGGCCGTGCATGGCCGAGCTGTATTTTTTCTGGCAGAGGCAATGTGGGCGAGTCCTTCACTGTTTCCAGGGAAGCCCCATGGGCCAGATCTAAGCATCCCGCAGGCCGGATCTGGTTGCTGGGCCTTGAGTTTGACACCTCTGCTCTAGGTAGACCAGACTGGAAATCACCTCTATAGGAAAGTTAAAATTATTTATATTAACATTGATTAATATAGTCTAATAGTTCTGTACCCTTTTCTCCTCCTCCTCATAGTTCAATAATTTAGGGAGATCTGCCTAAGTTGCTTCTGAATATTATCTTCTTTATAATTAAAAAAAAATGCTTCCAGCTCTTCTCCCAAGTAACAGATCCTGCATATTTCCATCAAGGTTATCTTCTTGCACCTGGTTAATATTACTCAAAGTACTGCCTGCATTAACAGTGAAAGCCTATACACATATACTCAGAATCAAGTCCCTTTGTGTTCAATGGCACATATGAGTGTGATAATTGACATTTGGAATAACCTTCAGTCCATCAATTCACATCTCCTTAAGAACTTTTTTCTGACATCTTTTAGATTTGCCTCTAAGAGATGGAGGACAAAAATAAAAAAATTGACCTGCCTACTTATATACTCATAATACTTCAACCTAGTTGTTTTTGTGACCAAAGCCATTGATTTCAGGTAGTCGCTAAAGGCAGAAACTTTGAACTTATGAATCAAAAGGCAAACATATTCCCCACCTAGGCACTCCTCACATTCAGTTTTGATAGACCCAAATTCTTGGTTTAAAGCAAGTGCTGTTTTTCACCTTTGAAGTATGGCGTAGGAATGGAGTAATTTTCTGCTAGCATTTCCTTCTGGGAATGAATAAGAAGGTATAAGTATTGTATACCTAAATTAAATACAAAATTATAGCACTTGCCTTATGCCAAGAATTCACGCATATCCAAACATATTGCAAGGAACACAAGTATTACTCTTGCCTTGAATGTTTCTAGTAGTTCAGAAGCCCTGAGTGTGAAATGTGACTCTATTGTGCATAGTTTTCTCTTTCTGATTACCCTTTTTTCACTCTCATTGTAAACCTTCCATTTTTCATTTTGTAACCAACTTCTTATTGCTACCCAAACAGAACTTAGCAAAAATAAGTATTTTCTTGGGAATATTTACCTGTTTCCAATTTCTCCTGTGTTTCTCTACATGATCAGATTATTTTTAGTTCATTTCTCAGATTGTGTACCAATGTGTCCCTCCCTGTTTCCATAGCCACAGTCAGGCTGAGTTGCCCAAAATAAGTTGCAACTTCCCTTTCAGCTTAAAAATGAGGTTGTGCAGCTGGTGAGCTGAATACCAAGTGTTGCATCAGCAGTCAAGCCCAAATGATTCATGAAACTCTCCTGTTTGTGCATAGAAACAGCAAGAGAAAGAAATAGGAAGTTCTTTTTTTTTACTTTTCTAATGAAAATCTATACATTTATCTTAACTTTATAATAATTTTATCAAAAGTTTTTTTACAAGGTGTGATTCATTTCTAAATAATGTATAATTACTGGTAAATGTTAAAATGCATAGGAAAATGAAAAGGAGCTAAGTCATTGCCTAGCTTTTAACTATTCTCAGGAATCACAATGATACTTACAGGCCTAACGTAATAATGCACCTCTATAATTAACAGAAGGATGGGGTTTGTAAAATTTTCAGACTTAACATTGAAAGGATCAGAAATAGAAAGCCATGCATGATAGAAGCAGTCTTTCAAACTAAGGACTGCTGAACTACTAGAAAGGTTTAAGAGCAAGATTAACACTTTTCTCAACTGTTCTTCAGTATGCTCCTCAGCTTATGAGGAGACTAGCATTAATGACATATATTACTCTACAAACAGATGTGCTCATCTTACCTCAAATACTTTTTAATCTGCTTTGATATTCTTCTTTACTACATCATTTTACAAATGTTCCTATCAATCCCAGATAAGAACTGCAAGAAGACAGAATCATTATTTATTATGACTAGAAAGAGACTTTCTATATTAATTCCTATTATTATAACAGGAAATAGTAACCTTTAGAACTAAGAGAATTGGATGAGAGGAAGCTGGTAGAGTTTTAAACCCTAATATCATTGGTTAAAATATAAGGCTTCCATCTTCGTGGGATCAAAAGAAAAAACTTCTACCAAAATGACCTAAATTATCACTATTCTTTTCCAGTGGATGATGGCACTGGTGTAATAAGCTGTACCTGCTGGAAAAATGCTTTAACAGAAAAGAAAAAAATGTCAGGTAATATTTGCTGTAGTTTTCCTCTTTCAGGATATTCAGTATATGCTGCAGCCAAGGTTGTATTGAGACATTAACCTTTACCTGTTTGGCCTTTTCATATCTTACTCATGAAAATTTGATTATTGTAGTAGCCCTTGAGATATGGGATATTGTAGATTTTTTCCTCTCATAATGGAATATTTGCTTGGTTAAGTGTTATATGTGCTTTGATGTATAAATTTAGTATAGGTATTATAGTACTTTATGCTATTGTTTTTATTGTTATAATAATTGTGTTGTTTTAATCTGGTATTCGGGTGTCAGGTATGTATACTACTACAAATTGATAATGTTTGAGGTAGCACAAATGTCAGTAATAAGTCTAAAAACACATGTCACAGAAAGAAAAAAGAAAAGAAAATTGAGAAATTTATAGCTTTATCTGTCCCTGTTTTGTTTTTTTCATCATGATGCTGCTTAAGGAGCTTTCCTAAACAGGATAATGGCAGTTTTTAAGTCAGAAAAAATACATCCCTGTGGAAGCATGACCTGCATAATTGTAGTACTTGAAAAGAGTCTTTAATTTTATCGTGCTCAGTGAACATTGTTATGAGATGTATATATTTCTCTTCAGATTTGGAATCTCAGCCAAGTACTTTAAGTGGTATGAATCTAACTGATTTGATAAGAAATCTCCAAATAGCAATTCGAAAAAAAACAATTCTGGAAATTGGTGATCTAATCAGAGTCCGTGGTTGCATTCGAATTTACAGGCAACAACGGGAAATCAAGGCTTCTGTGTATTGTGAGTAATTACTTTGTAGTAGTATGCATGTTTATTTTAAAGTTGCAAGTTGTAATCTGAACATTTGTCAGAAAAGATTGTTTTTTTCTGGTATGTAGTACCTCTTATATTGATAAATTTTGACTTATTTTATATATGAAATGTAGTAAATAATATTTTTGCACTATTAAGAATTAACAATTTCAACACCTTTACATTTCTCATATCTTTTCAGATAAAGTTGATGATCCTATGTATGAAACTCAAATTTCCAGAATGCTAGAACTTCCTCGTTTATATAGGGATATTTATGATAAGATATTCCAGTTCCCAGAAGAAACACAATGGTCAGTGAAAGCTATATATATTGATAGCCCAGTTTTGATTTGTTAACTCATGGAAATGTGAATCCCAGTTACAGACAATGAAACAGGCTATTTTATAGGAAGCATTGTATGGAAACAGAAAGAACAATGAGGAATGAATAAATAGAGGAGAAAATAAGGAAGAGATATAATTGATGAATCCAGAGTACATATAGTATTAAATAATTCTTAGATGCATTCAGCAAAATCATCTTAAATCTGTAATGAAAACTTTGGCAAATTAAAAACAAGTATTAAACCCTTGATTATCAGTGGGCTTTCAAGATGGTCACCAAATTGAGCAAAATAAATGGACATCATTCCTCATGCCATTTATATTCTTATTTTCAAGCCCAATTCTTGAGCTTCAGATACTCCAGGATAGATCCCAACCAACTCTAGTTCTTTCCAAATATATTGTGCAACTCTCATAATTTCCGATCATCCAGGTCATATTGGAGAAAACAGAAAAAGAGGCCAAAATATTATAGTAGCTGGCAGTAATCGAATGTGTCAGCCACATTTTAAGCAGAGATATCCTTAGTGTACTCTCTTATCATGTGTGCCAACATCACAACTGATACTGGTAATAATCATGCCATCCAGTTCCAAAATTATATGCAGTCCTCATTTAGTCATTGTAATCCGTTCCAGTGAAATGGTGGTAAGCAATATGGTTACAAAGCAAGCCACATGATTGACAGATGCTGTGAAGATACCGGATGCTACGATTTCCATTTAGATAAAGTTGTCTTGTGCAGCAACAACAGGGTTACTCTTAACTCCAGTGTGTAATGTCAAGCACAGCAATTTGGTCCTAAGCATGCATATTGGTGAGAAAATTATTTTCTACAGTTTATTTTTGTTATTGCATTTGTAAAAAGCTGGAATAATCATTAAATAAGGATTGGCTATATATGTAATTTGAAACATGTATTATGTTTTTAAATCAATGCATGCATTTTTACCTATGGAGAATGTATTAAGGCTACAAAATGTTCAGCAGTTCTGGACAACTTTCTATAGATTCATTATTAGTTTTAGACATGTTTTATTTTGGTCATGTTGAAGCTTTTTTAATTTTGTTCTCTATTAATAGTAATCATGGTGCATTAGATGAACTGGGTTCTGTCATGAATCTGAGTAAAAAAATAAGGGATTTTCTATTGAGGAACAAAATTCAGAGCTTCTATATGCAGGAATTAGAAACCATTGAAGATTTGGTAACATTGGCCAAAAGAGGTGAACTTGGTACCACTGCTGAACAAGTGAGTAAAGTTAATTTGTAAGAAGTTTTTCACTTATGAGAATTAATTAATTAAGAATGAACTAAGTCTTGCATATTTAAAAAAATAAAATTCACATCTATTAATGGTGTGCCAGTCTAATAATTTGTATACTCCTTGTTTTAGGTCTTAGGAATGTAAGTCACCTAACAGTTGGGTTGGAAATATAAAGCCAGGGTAGACCTTTTAATACTGTCTCTTTAAGGGAATTCTAAAATTGTAATTGGGTGTGGTTCCTCAAACGGCCATAAGATGGAGCCAGAAACCTGGTTTCTGAGAGTGTTGCCGTTCCTGCATTTCCTTATTGACTGTTGCTGAGAGTCGTTATTCTTGGATTTGATGTAAGTCTTTTGCTGATTATATAAATTATTTAACTATAATTACCCAGGCACTTCGACCCCTATGTTGAAAGTATTTAGGGCAAAAATAGTTCCAATGCTGACATATGGTACAGAACTGTGGGGTTTAAATAAAGCTTTCCCACTTGAAAAAACACAGGCCCGCTTTTTAAGACACTTATTGGGGACTGATAAGAACACTTCTGCTTCCGCTTCCATCGCCCGAAAAAGACTGCCTAAAGGTGAGGGGACACGGGCAGCCCCGCCTCACCCCAAAGTGGCTTGGGACTCTGCCTTCAAGGGAGCTTTTGTCTGACGAAAGAAGCGGCCTCGCGGCGAGGGGAGTGTGTGTGTGCACGCTCGCCCCGAGGCCGCTTCTACCGGCCAATAGAAGTGGCTGGTGACTGCACTTGGGGAGCTTCCATTGCCCGAAAGAGACTGCCTAAAGGCGAGGGGACACGGGTAGCCACGCCAATCCCTGAAGTGGCTGGGGACTCTGCCTTCAGGGAGCTTCTATCAGCTATCGGGCTATTCTAGCCTAGGCTACCTGCAGGGCACTCCTAAAGGCAAGTTTTCTCTCCATCCCACCGCCCTTCCTCTGCCCATTTCTCTTCACCTCGTATAGTTCTAACGAACGATGTGAGAAATGGTGGGGAAAAGCATGGTTTAAATAGGCCTAAATTTTGGGGGTGGGGCTTAATTTCACCTTATGCCTAGAAATCATGCTGGGCCTTCCTATTGGTGGAGGCCGTATTGTTGGAGAAACACGGTAGCAAAAACAGATCTATAGGACAGTTGGCTAAGAATAAAACATCTTCCAACCTGAAAAATACCTTTCAATTGGTATGCCACAGTTAGAGAAGAGCCTATACCAGAGCCAGATTTGAGTTACTGGATTCCATGTCTAGACATGGGTGCTTCCACCATGTACCATACCACGAGAGAACCTGCTTATGTGGTTCATCTGCCATTGAAGATATTTCCCACATCTTGTTCAACTGCCACGTATATGCCCCCATTAAGCTTAAATATTTATCATTTCTACTGGAAAGAACAGCCCACTGGGAATCAAACCACAAATTGTCATATTTCCTCCAGGCCTCTAATATACACATCATTTGTAGGACTGCTAAGTTTATAATCAAGGCAGTGGTCCTAAGAACACAATATATTGAACAAATTGGTGTATCATGCAAGGGTGATCTATTATCCAATTTCTGACTCCCTGGTTTTCCACATACTTTATTACTGTATTCTTATATATCTAACTTATCTGCATTTTGTCTTGTTATATATTTACGTTATGTTATTGATAAGGTCTTATGACTATTCAATTAAATAAACAATACCAATACCTATTGACTGTTGCTGATCGTCATTATTCTTGGATTTGATGTGAGTCTTTTACTGAACTGTTTTTAATACTGGACTTTGTTATTGGATTATTCCTGGACTGAAAACTGACTGCTATAACCGTGTATGACTTGGACTGTTTGTTAGACTTTGCTTAACCGTTTACTGGAAGTAAAACTGACATTTTACTATACAGTTGAGCTGTGTGCTATGTGTGTGTTATTCAACATTACTCTCACTACGTCTCCCTGTGTGCGCTCATTCTCCTAACGGGGAATTACCTCAACAAGCCTGAGTTATGACGATTAAAAACTATTTTTAAAAAAATATATATAAGATGTACCCGGTTTAAGAATGAGTTCCATTTCCAAAGACTGTTCAGAAATAGAATTTGTATATAAGCTGGGACAGTATCATTGAGTACTATTGTCAAATGAATTTGAAGCATTATGTATTTAACTTGAATCACTGTGTATTTAAATTCTGCTACAGTATGCTCCATTCTTAGCTGTGGGTCATCCTTAAACCCAGTGTTTTAATCTAGGCACTTACTTTAATGAGATTTTAATAATCAGGACCTGGATGAAAAAACTGATATTGTGCATGATTTTTAAGTGTCTTTTGATAAAAACTATTAAATATATAGACCAAACTACAATGCAACATTATATGTTGGATTTCAACATTTAGCTTTAACTCACTGTTAATTATATTAAGGAGTATTTTAGAATTTTATGTTTTTTTTTTACAAGTAATGCCTTTTACAGGTTACTTGAATAACAGGACCAAATATTTCTGAACTTAAGGGCAGGTTAATTAAGGTCCAATTGCTTACAGACATGGGATATTCAGTGTATAATGTTCTGTCAGAGCGTTCTGACATCTGCCTCACATTACATTTATTCTTCCTGGGCATTTTAACTTCTTTGGAAAGGACCTTATTGTCCTTAGGGATGAGGGATTTGGGAGGCTCCAAGCCACTAACCTCTAATTGAAATCAGAATTGTTCATAAAGTAAATGCTTGTTTGAGAGTTGGACTGATGATTTTCAATAGCATAATGTTTCTGTTTTACATTGCACTTCTGGTTAAATAGGAATTTGCTTATAAAAAGGTTGTAATATGCAGAAAATAAGTCCATGAGCCATATAACCATGGTAGAGATTTGCATAAGTTAATCTATGTAATATTATGCATATTTGTATCATTTGAAAATTTGGATTGAACAAACATTTAAAATCCTTTTGTATTGTTTTAGCAAGATATCAGTGGGTTTAATTTATATCTTACAATTTTCTTTCAAGAGAATAAAAAATGTTTAGGCAAGTTTTTCTTTTCTTTAGAGAATTTTTGTATATTTTTTAATGTCAACCATCAAAAATGATCATTCAATTAAAACCATAATAAAACTGTACCTCTCATTTACAAAAGCTTCTGTGAACTCTTTCCTAGTGGCTGCTTCCGGACAACCATTTGTTTTTATAAAATAAATGTTTGTCATTGAAATTCGTGTATCCCTGGGGGATCGCTCCTGGCGCCAGGAAAGGTGTTCAAAGACCGCAACAGTCTTCTTCACCTCCGTTCGCCCTGTCCTGCCACCGGAAACCTCGCAGCTAGTCAGCTGCCATTATAATAAATTCTGGTTGAATTTAAAAATTCTCACTTTTTTCCACACTTTCTAAATCCGTACTCTTTTGTTGTCTTGAATTTTCTTTTAAGGCATACTGTTTACTGGCTTTGAGTTTTTCAGCTGTAGAGTAAAGGCATTTAAAACTCAAATTATAGATTTATCTTCTAAAAGCACCACAGTCAAACATTAAAAGTATAAAGGAATTGACCTTTCATAGTGCATATTGAATTTCTCATGCTTTCTGCTTCCATCTTCATTCAGAATTGCAAGCTCAGTTCCTGTGGAGACAGAATGTCTTCCTCACCTTTAATCTTCCGTCCTTAGAATTCAATTCTATTTTTCTCTGTTAGTCCTTGGATAAGGTTCCAATATTTTGAATAAAATTGTCTTTTTAATTTTAAACACAACATATAGAAACACTCCATATTACAGCTCAATTAATCCTTTTCTTGTTATGTGTTTATTTCTTGTACTCCATCAGCTGGAAAATAGCAAGAGCATAATTATATAATCTAATCTCAATTAATCCAATAACATGAGGAGGAACAGAAAAAAGGAACAGATTTCCTCTGACCGTTACCATATATTCCAATAGCATCCAACTTTAACATAAAGGATTCATAAACAACTATTTTAATCAAAGTATTATGGTTTATCAGCCTATATTCAGATAATTTACCCAAAGCTATTTATGCAGTAATGCATTGCAACATACATAGTCATCACGAAACAGCATTTGATTATTTGTCAATTATTTTTTGTCAATTTTCAATCCGTTTCCTGTCATTATATAGTTGGAATATTGTGACTTTAATTAACTTTGTTTAAAAAAACCTTCACAGCATTTGGAAGATACTAATAAAGTTGGGGGGGGGGGGGTAAGAGTGAATTATGTCACTTTATCCTCATGGAAAGGTGACTGAATGAAAAATTTGGTCTGACAGCAATCTTAAAATATTTAATTGAACAAATATACATTAGATTAGTACTATAGATGAGGAAGTAATTACAGGAAAGCAAATTTCAGAATAGGTTAAGAAAAACTTCCTTACTATGAGAATAGCTAGATTATCGCAAATTGTTTAGGAAGGCTACAGAATACTAATATTTGTTTAACATATTTAAAGAATTTGATTACTGATAGGAAATTGACTAGATTGTTTTTTCTTTATTCCTCAGATGAATTTTAAAGGTTAACACTGCATATCTCTCATTTCAAATCTACCTCTGAGCAATCTTATGTTTGGACAACAAATAGAAATTGTACATATTGCAAACAACTTCAGTATAGTCAGTCTTCAGATATTTCAGTGTTAATAGTACAGGCTATCAAAAATGTAGTGTGCAAATAATCATTAATTTATAACAGCAGTTGCAACTGGAATTTCTGTCATTAAGTGATGCATCCATAAACTGCAATCCTTGCAGTCCCAGTTGCTGTTATTAACTGAATTTCGTGGTCGTTAGGTGAGGCGGCTTAACCAAAGTCATAACCAAAGTCAGTGAGGAAGCCAATGGAAAGTTGTAAGTCTCAAGCTAGCAGGCAGGCAAGTGGCTGTGGCTGAGTGGGAAAAGAAGCATGAGGGGTTCATGGGAGTGTGGGAAGGAAGGTGAGGGTATGGGAGGGCATGAAGGGATGCACAGAGTTGTGATACAAGTTGGAAAGAGTGCAGAAGAGGTACAGCACAGGCCAGGGAAGGTGCTTGAGTGGTTGATGCAGTGCAAGCACAGGCACAGGAAGAGATTGTGCAGATTTGGGTGACTTACCTCAGCAACAGCGGAGAAGTTGGTAGAGAAGGTTGCAAATGGCAATCATGTGATCATGAGTCACTGTAATTAGTCATAAGTGCAAACCAGTTGCCAAGATCAAAATTATGTGATCATGGGGATTCTGTGGCATGGTGTGGCAGCTGAAACTCAAGAGGATGAATCTTAAGCATTATTTGTTCAAATGCCATCACAACTTCAGATGGAACAGATTTGCTGAACAAATAAGTCAATGTTCTTGTAACAAAACACAGATAAGAACAGATTCCAGTATGATTATTGGATACAAGAAGCATATAAGAATTATAGAAATATTTCATTCCTCCTAATAACTAATCAAATATTATTTAGAACAAAGTATATAGGTTTTTACTTTTGATTACACATCCAGAGTTCAACAGAATTAATGTTTTCCTTTTTGAGTTTTCTAATCTATCTTCTATATGTTCTCTAATTACTTCCTGATACTTCTTTTGTATTCTTTCAGCCACTCCTGTGGTTAAAACTCTGGTTAGATCAGGGTAATATTGTACAGTAGGCAAGAGTTTTAGCAGGAGTATCTGTAGGAGATCAGACTGATGCCAGGAACATTTCAGAGTCAAAAGCCCATCCTTTTTTTCCGTGTATTGCAATATTGCACACACCCCAAACTGGTAGAGCTTGCAATGTAGTGGAACAACACAGCAGTTTCTGTGGATGAGTATTGGATTTAGAATTTGAAGATAGCATTTTAAAGTCCTTGCCAGCTATGAAGATAAGAAACTGACCTTGAGCTAGTCCTAAATTATCTTATGGAATGATTGTGATGAACTAAAGAGGAATATGTATGCTGTTCTAAGCTTCTATTTTTAGTAAAACCAAATCAGAACAGAACATTTTAACTCTGCCACTTCACTGACATATCATTACAATGCTGTCCTGTGTCTTTCAGAGAATAAAAATAATGAAAAGAAAGGAGTGTGGCTTGGCTCGACTACATTGCATTACTTCTTTAAGAGGGAAACATAAAGTTAAGAAAACCACAGAAGTCAGGTTTTCTAAGATGTTTCTTTGTTGTTTTTCCTAAGCTGCTACCCATTTCTTTTGTACTTCTTCTATCACTGCAAAGTATTTCATGATTTACACCTCTGTTAAAGGAGCTGTCTAAACTGAGTCTTATGCCAGTTTATATGATGACTTTAATTACAGCCTGACTTCAGTTATATTATTTTCAGTTATCCCAAAGGGAATAATTAGGAAGCTCTTTTCTTTCCACTGGTAAACCTTTTAGTTCATTCATTGACTTATTGTTTCTATTACATTAATAATTCATCAGCATCTCCTTAGGTAAATTGCTTAGGCAGCAAACTTCTGATTTCTGAAATACTGCTAGCTGCAGTCTATTTAATCTTAAGGATCAAGACTTTGCTACTATTTAGGGGTAAGATCTTCTCACTCTTTATTTCTCTAAGAAATTAAATAAACAGCCTAAACAAGCATATAACTTGCCTCTGTACCTTCTTACGCAATTGTTATCTACTTTTTACTGTTTCCCCATCAGACAGATTCCAAAGCTGGTCCTTGCTCCAGACTGATTAGAAAGTCATTCATGGAAGCAATAAAGTTATTGCAGAAAAATGGTGTTCTTTTTCAAAAATCAAACACTTCCCAAAATATGTATCATGTAAGTATTGAAGGCTGTATAGTTTTCCTTGCATCCCACTATATTTACATTCAGTTATGTGGAATATACTGGTGACAAGCTAATGCTACTGGAAAATGAATAGCACAGTTTGAAAGTACTGTTTTAGATTATCTGAAATGAGTAGAGTGATTAGATGGATACCAGCAGATTTAATTTCACATGTAACTTTGGGAGTTGCAGATTGGGTACGTTCATTAAAAACGTGGAAAGAAAAAAATCATTTTCTCTTTCAAGAAGAAATTGGAGCTGAGTACATATTTAGTAACAATAAGTAGAAATCTTGGAGCTGAGTCGTATTGTTATATGCTGAGTTTATATCGCCATATTTTAGCATAGCACTAGACACCTGTGTCTTTGACTCATTGTTTCAGAAATATTTCCTTACCTAAAGAAAAAAACAAAATGAACATGGATGGGCAAAAAATCAGTGAGAGAGGGAGTGACTTTCAACTGTCTGTCAGCTTGCCCATTGAGTTTCCTTGTGGGAAGTTAGCAGTGAGCATTGAAATCTACCTTCCTTCCATCCTTCCTTCCTTCCTTCCTTCCTTCCTTCCTTCCTTCCTTCCTTCCTTCCTGATATAAGAATCTCATGATTGTAATTTGTAAATGATTATTTAAATTTGAATCTATTGTTAAGTATTTCTGGTATGTATGAATGTATGAAGCTGGCTATAGTATCTAAAGAGGGGTTGATTTTGAATGGGAGATCTGAAAGATGAAATATCACTGCATGAAGATTACATGAAAATTTCTTCCCCATTATTACATTCTTTTGAGATGAGAATGTAACAGTCTCTAATTGTAAACCCAACCTTTCATTTAACAATTTATCCTTACATTTTAGGTTACTGAACAGGATACAGAATTGCACAAAGTAACTCTTGAAGTTATCAGAGCTGATTGTAAGAGACCAAAATGTAAGTAGTTCTCACTATCTTAACTGTCTTAACTTAAGTCTTAACTTAAACAAAAGTGTATTTCTTATTTGTATAATTCACACAATATAAAAAGTGGAATTATCTGCAAGCTCCTTCTTTATATATTTTCTTATAATTTTAGACACTTCTTGGTTTCTGTATTAAAATATTTGTCTGAGGTAAATTGCCCGTACTCATTTCTTTTTACTGTCTTTTTTAGTCTTCCCAGCTGATTCTTCGCATTCTGTATTGATCTAAGTACATTGATCCATTGTGCATTTCTAGGAGTGTAAGTGTCTTTGAAGATAGGAAAGCACGAAACTGAAAAATCTTTATTATGTATTTGGCAATCTGAAATGTTAAAGTTTGAGCTAATTTAAGAAAGCTTTAATGCCTTAATAGATCAAGGTACAAAAGAAACGTACTAAAGAACAAAATTAGGAATATGTGAGAATTGCATTTTCTTTTAGGACAGACGAGTAGAATCAAAACAAGGTGGATAAGAATGACACATATTGTCTTTCCTCATCAGTGAGTCATAGATACTGCTAAATAGATACCTCTACCGATCACAATGGAATGCTTATCTTATGACGTTTATTATATTTGTTGAAGAAACACACACATTTTTGCAATGCTGCTTGTGCTGTTTTAAAAAAATACAAAAAGAATAAGTTTTGTCTTGTGGCTCCTATCTATCGGAATTCCCGATAGATATCCTAAGCCACAAGAATATCAGATTATTTCTTTTCCCTGAAAAAAAGTTACAAAAGCCCTTACACCAAGATGCAAATATTTCCCACCCATCTTATAATGCACTACACCTAAAAGCTAAGAAATAGTACCAGTTATGTGATGAATGAACACCAACCATTTGTATTTTTTTCCAAACAGCATGCTTCCCTCTTGCTACCGTCATCCATTTTTTTCCTCTTATTAGAGAGAAAATATCCTAAGTGGAATGCAATTATTCCTGATTATTCACTTCTTTGTTTAAAAAATGGACTTTTGTGTTTGAAAATAACAAATATGAGAACCAGGACATGATGTTCTTATGTTACTCATTTATTCCTCACTGTTAGTACTAAAAGGGAAGTGTGAAAGTGCCAGACCTTTGGTGCCAGCTTCCTAACCAAATGATGGGTTCTGCAACTGCACCAGGAACACTACGTAAGAATTATATTCTTTAAGAAAGAAGGAAAACAGTCCACCATTTGTAATCCCATGCTTACTTTCTATTTGCAGATGCTGAAAAAGGGTGCCATCTTCGTCACATACTCAGTTGTATTCAGCAAAACTATAATCCTTATATCACTGAAGCTGTTGTCCATTGTCTCCTTGATTGGTTGGAGATCAACAGTGAAGTTGTCACGACCATGGAAGAATACTATACAGTCTTTTAATCTAAGGGAATGGAAGCCTGGAGCCAAACTTTATTATTCAGTGATCTATAACATCACAGATTTTACTATGTACCTGCTGAGCTATTTTTCTAATTTAGAAGGTGATGCAGAATACAAATCATTTTATTTTGTGGTATTTTTAGTAAATATCATTGTCTGACGCATTTCTACTTTGTCTAAGAGCAAAAAAAATACCAAGCAGTCATGTAAAAGTATGCTGCAACTGCCCCCTTGTGGTGGGATAGAATTAAAAAGAACATAGTTAAAAAAAAACCCAACAGAAAGCATGTACAGGGAAGAGCAACTTTCTGCCAGAGACCAAAAACACAAAAGTAAAAATCCAAAAATGGCAATACAAAAAAACTGAAAATGATGTAAGTCAAACAAAATAAAAAAAATAATAGATAGAGGAAAAACTTGACATAGCCAAGATATTTATTGAACAGTTTGTGGATATAATTCCTCATTTAGCAAGATGCAGTGTTTTGGACACTGTGAAGAATATCAGAGATTCCTTGTTTCAGTTCTGTGTTATAGCTCCCTCAAAGCTTATTGAAATTGAGAAATATTAAATTGAGAAGCTATGCTATTTAAAATCTAGGATCCTTTTTTCCATACAAATTGAAAAACATCCAGCAGAATTAAAATGATGAAAGAACTATCAATTTATCCCAAACTCTAAGGTCACAATTTCATATGAACCCCAATAGAAACAGTCCAGATTCCAATTACAAGAAAGAATTGGAACAGTCTGAGGCATTCAGATAGTATTTTAAAAATGTTGATTGGATTTCTTTATTAGTTCTTACTTATTTGAAGAGGCAAATCTAAGGATATTAATGTCAATAGGCACATACTTATTGCCTCTTCTGTCTGTAAAGTTCAAAATTAAATAAATAAGTTTGGGCTCGATTAGAACCAGATTTTTGTTGTTTCCACCACAATATAGAGAATGAAAAAAATGATTCCTAAAAGAGCTAGAGTCAATCGTATTATTTTATTTTGCAACAATGAATTTGGTTGAAAATGCTCTTTTATCTCAAGAGAGTTGACCCATTAGATTGGTTCATACCAGCAATTGATGGACCCAGATTGGTTTCAGAGGGACTGGGATATTCCCATTGGTTTGCTGCACAGTCCATCTGAAGTTTCAGTTGCCACTTGGCATAAGAGGGTGGTTGAGGCATTGCAGCTATTATGCAAGCACTCCCCTTTTTGTGGAGCCCATTAGTCCCTGTAGTTCACAGAAGAGTTAAAGGAGTTGAAATGAGAGAAGAGACATCTAGAGTGTTTTTGGAATTCAACGGGGGACAAACTCAATCAAACAAGGATTTGAGTCACTATTAAGACCTGCTTTGTGATAGTATGGGTGGTAAAGCATCAGTACCCTCTTTCCCATTTCTTACCTAAATAAGCAGAATTCAAATTCTGTTCCATTGTTCTCTCTCAATGCTAGCATGTTTGCACATTACTCATCCTTAGTTAAATAAATCATAGCTAATTTAATTAAGTTTTCTAGGTTCATGTTATTTACTAGGTTCACATTATTAACCAGACTTGCTACTTTGCTCAACAGAGTATTGTAAAAAAAAAAAAATGGCTTGTGGGTCCATATGTCACACAAATTCAGCCATGTTTTCACTAACTGAATTATTTAAGGATGCCAGTGTAAAGATTGTAGCTAAAATAATTTATCCAGGAGCAATATTGCAATGTAATTATGGAACTATTTTAGTCAGTGTCCTTTAGGGAAGGATAACCTCTTCCTGCAAGGGGGGGAGGAGAGGGGGGGAAGCAAAGATAGGTTCCTAAAATGACCAGATTTTAACACATCCTTTCATCAGGTTTTCAGTAAGTAAGAGTTGTGTTCCAAGTGATGCCATCAGTTGAGAGTAACTTGTTTTATCCACAAATATGATTTTGGCACCAAAAGCCCTTTGTATGTCTTCTAAAAGCCACTGGACTTCTTACAATGTATGATAATCAAGTCCATAAATCCAAAGTGAAAAAAAAACCTTCAAGTCTGCTGTCTTGATGGAAGCTGTATAGAAGACATATTTCCTAAATAAAGGTTCAGATAGTTTTCTTAAAATTTTAATATTTAACTTTTAAATTAACAAGTATTTTCTTATTTAATATCTACTGTAGCTGATAAAGGGTAAGTTTAGTTTCCCTTTCTTTTGTAATACAGTATCAGTTGTTCATAAAAAAAATTTAGTAAGGAAAAAAAACATTTCTGTTATTCTGGAATCTAAAGATGTGGATCCATTTTATTATCATGTAACGGCAAATCTTAAGGCAAATCTTCAATACTCAGGGACCGGCTGAGACTTGATGACAAAAGCGCAACATCGTGCACTTTTCTTCCATAGAAATTGGATTCTCATGGAATGTAATGGTAATCTGTATTATGAGTTGGTAATTATCTAACAGAAACAAAAGTAACCTAACCTGCAAATATGTATATTGCCACAGTGTGGTGCTGTTGAAACAAACTTGGAAAACTAATACAGGAGTTTCTTTATATATAGTGAAACTTATATTTTGTAATGAAGTTTATGTATTTAAATGTTTAATTATTTAAATACATGTTTAAATTTAAGATGAGTTATGTTCAAAATAAGAGCTGTATGTACTTCATGATTGAGAGAGATATGCTTCTTGAAATTTTAGTTCCTATATTTAAAAAATCTGGTTAGTATTTTTAAAATTTTCTTTTGTAAAAGCACACAGTGAAGAGCCTTAATATTATATTTAGGATACATCTTTCTACTAAACCACATTAAAAAAAAATTTTCTAGTCTGGTTTTTGAATTCGTGTTTTATATATGTAGATATAGTGAATATAAAAAGTATATACCTCTGAAAATTCCAGGTTTATGAGATGTAAAAAAAATCTGATCAAGATAAATCACTTCAAAATTATTTTAACCTTTAATATAACATATAAGCTGTACAATAGAAAGATATGTCTTATTAGAGAAATATTACAACCCTTTACATTGTACCTGTTTTTTATTTGAGCATATCCTTTTCTTTTTTTGCAAAAATTAATGATATTTATTTATTTATTAAATTTACCCATCTCACGGTGGGTATCATGTTATCATAACACAGTGGAGGCTGTTCTTATTATTTTCAACCATTTCCTGATTAAATTCTCAATTTGCAAACTTTGCAACTTGCAATAGAGCTGGGTTAAATCAATATATTCTTCCCTATGGATACTTTCATATACAATGTATCATTTTCTCTTCCTCAGTAAAATAGTAAAACAATTTTGCAAATTCCTTCAGAACCTAGAGTTTAATTCATTTCATTTTAATTTGATGTAAATATCTGGCTTTCCCCACCTATATTTCACTCAGCTATAAAACCCAATCACCGTGACAGGTGCAAAGGAGGGGATAGCTTAACGCTAATTTTTAATTTTATTAAAAGCCAAATAAAAAGGTTTTGTTGGTTTTAAGTTCCTGTTTGTTGAAATAAGATGGTGAGGGGTATAAACTAATGGTTTATGATTTTATTTTTTTATATAGTTTTCTTTATTGATTTTTTTCCTCTAAGAAGGACCAGATTTCTATAGCATCATAGCAAATATATCTTGAAGCCCAGAAGACTTTCTTTGAGGCAGATTATACAATAGCTTATCCCCCACAGGGGAAAAACTATGCAGATGATATATAGATAGTCCTCAACTTACAGCATTCATTTAGTGACCATTTGAAGTTCTAAAGACACTGAAAAAATGACTTATGACAGTTTTTCACACTTATGACAATTGCAGCACCCTCATGATCAAAATTCAGATGCTTGGCAACTGACTCATATTTATGACCGTTGCAGTGTCCCAGGGTCAAGTGATTCCCTTTTGCAATCTTCTGACAAGCAAAGTCACTTAACTGCAATAAACATGATCATAAAATTGGGTTTGGTCATGTGATGACTTAATAACTGCATCATTTAGTGACTGAAATTCCAGTTCCAATTGTTATAAGAATCAATCTATATAATATACACACTTGTATGTATGTATATATGTTTAAGTAGAGTACTAATATTTCTGAGTTATGAATGTGGGTATGCTGAATAGCAGTTTAGCAAGGCATGATCTATCTTTTAATATTCTGGATGTAACATTTTCTGATGCAAACTGATAAAAAGGCTGCCAGTTGAACTAAGTCTTTTCACTGCTGATTTTACAGAATCTCCTACAAGTAACTTTGGCCTTATGCTGCAGCCCACCAAGTAGATTTACATGGGGCTGGAAAGCCATTAGTCCATCAGAAATTGCTGAACTTCAACTCCCTCCAGCCCCAGCTAGTTTATGGGATGTTGGGCATTTTAATTCAATAATATCTGCAGGGCTAGATTTCTCATCTCACCCAAATATGCTTATGATCATTGGAAGATACCCAACTTTTTGGCACCCACTAGCTTGTGGCTCTTGAATTCTCTCACGTCGTGGGTAAATCTTTTGGGTATGTATTCGGACCTTTATTTATTTGATTGATTTCTATAACCACCCTTCTCAGCAACCAACTCTGGTTTCTGCTTCATGGGATCATTTGGAGTGGAAGACCTGGTCTGCACTCCAAATGATCCCTGGTCTGCACTGCATGAGCAGCAGCCTCTGTCATCAAAAATACCTGTAACTACCGGCAACATCATTCTCATGAGGTGGGTTTAAATTGCATAAAGCGATCCTGGTTCGCTCTCTTTTTCTGCCACACAGCTGCCGCCTCACTTTTTCTCTTGTCGCCAGGCAGCTTGAGGGAGGGACCGGGGGTGAGAGGGGTGCGAGAAGAAGAAGCGAGCGCCTGAAACGCCAGCTTCTTTCCTCTTTCCCCCTGCCCATGCCAAATCTTTGCCGGCCGACCAGCCGCTCTTAAGTGGCCGCCGCCCGTCTCAGCTTCCCTCTGGTTTGGGGCGTGGAGAGGTGATCGCCCCCTCCCCCGTTCCGCTCTCCTGCCTCCTCCTCCTCCTCCTTTCCTGTCGGCAAACAGCCGGCCCTCCTGCTCAGCCAGCCCTTCCCCACAGCCCCTCGCCTCGCTGCGAAGACGACAGCAGCGGGAATCCGGAGGAGAGCTGGGGAAGGGAGCAGCGCACTCGCTCGTCTCCCCATCCAAACCAGCCCCGCCGTATCTTCTGCCGGCCTGCACGTTTCCTCCCTTTCCGACCCCGACCCCCACCCCCCGCACCCCCCAGGCCGCTGCAGGAGCAGTCGGGGCAGCAGCGGGAAGCGTTGTCAAAGATCAGCCGCTGTCAGACAAGGGGCTGGGGCCGAGGATAACTGCACGGCGGCGACTCACTCCGGTGTAGGGCGGGAGGG